ACGAAGCCATCGAAAGGAATTACGGTTACGAAATAAATATGCCATTTCGAATGTTCCGGTAGTTTGCATATCCGATATCAGCTCGCGCTTTCGCGCGTTCAAACAATATTAATGTTACAAACGGTTTCCGCGTTCGGCGGCGCTCAATCGACTATGCCTATCGGCTATCAATTTATTCGATTACAGCCACGTTTATATACAACAATCAATCAAGAAACAAAGAAAATATTCGCGAGGATCTTCGAGAGAATCGCATCAAGATAGAAAGAGAGAGAGAGAGAGAGAGAGAGAAGCAGGTCAATGCAACGAGCTGCAAGCTGAATATAGCACGACAGAGTCGGACATTAATTCGAATGTAAATTTTATCCGACAACACAAACGCCTACCAGATACGATCATAAATTTGAATAATATCAATATAGTCTCGATCGCTAAATCATACGCTGTCAAACGTGGGCGAGACGACTGACTGACGATGACAGTTCTCCAACACCTAACGGCACTTCTTGCGACAGTTCTACTACACAAAATATGTCACCTCCATTTTGATTAATCTATAGAGTCAATTTTCCTTAGAAAAACATCTTACTCGTTATTTACGATAAACTTTTACTTTTCAATATTAAAGTAAAAAAAATAATTGGAATAAACTTGTCTAACAAAAAATAATTATCGTCTGTATATAAAATATATTATAAATATTGTATATATTATATATATATATATATATATACATGTGTGTACGTAATATATACGCAATTATACATTTATATATATAGATAGATTATAGATAATATCGAAAATCAAATTGCATTATGTATCACCGGGACTTTAATCAATAAATTAATCGTCAAAGGATGATGTCGAATGACGACGTTTCCGGAAATACCGGCGCGTCAGCAGGTTTCGATCGCTCGTATTTCCATAGAAACCTGAGTTCGTTCAACACGCCGGAAGTGTCGCGCTCCATCCGGAAGTGTCACGGCAAGGACGAAACGACTCGGTCGAGCCGTCGATGAAAACTTTCTATCCCACACTCATTCCCACGATACTCGTCGAAAATTGAAAAAAGCATAGTCCTGCTGTCGTCAGTGGTTCCGACACGGAAGCGCCGACGAGAAGCCAACGATTTTACGCCGTCATTTGTACAAGTTATCGCGGCCTTTGTTGACCAAGGGTCGTTCTTCAAAATTATTAGGTGAAAAGGAAACGCCGCGCACCAACGCGACGTAGAGCGCGCATCACCGACAATATTTCGCGTTGACGGTTCTGATCGCGGTACACAGCAAGTGACTATAAAATTCAAAAAGGGCAGCAAGATGGAAAAAACAACAAGGAGAGAAAGAAAGAAAGAAAGGAGAGAATTTGTGACACAAACGGGACGATGACAGAATGCACTTTAAAATCTTGTCCTAAATTGAATCTACGGACAACACGTTCAAAGATATACCGTTGATCTAAAAGTTTAATCATGCAACCACAGTGCCACACTATGAAATTCTTTTTGTGTATCGATAAGAATAGTCGAAAAATTGTCAATAATTAAAATTTAACTTTCGAAACATTTTATTAAAACTTATGATTTATGTAAAGCAAAACTCTAATTTTGTTTGTATTTTCAGAAAGATTAGTAGAGTCGAGAAAACTTCCTACACACGCAGATGTAATTGAACTCTGAAATTTCACAATTGATATAGAGATGATGGATATAACTTTGGCTTTATATGTTTTCATAGAAACCAGTAAAATACAGAATAAGATAGCGTTTGTAATTTAATATTGGAAAAGGATGCAGGTTGTGTAAGTTCGCTTCAATATCCATCAATTTTTCATTATTTCCGTGATGAAAATAATGATATCACGTTTTCTATTCTTCAGTACTCTGCAAACATTTTATGTTTGCAATCTAAATAAGTGGTGTCCTATAGCATGACACATGTTAGAAAAGAAGAAGTATGGTACTAGAAACTGAAAATTCTACATTATCTCTGTCATCTTTTGATGCAAGCCATCCTTTTATCGCGCAGGAAGAAAGTGAATACAAATATAAATTGAAGAATTTTATTATCTCGTGTTAGCTACCGAAACTTGTCGCTTTTTATTACTGCACGTTTCAAACACATACGTCAATGTCAAAAAATAATAGTAATGCTTCAGAGGCATCACTATTTCTGTTATACGTTTTTAGTGACACTGCAAAAATAAAAACAGCGCGCGCAAAAGCATAATTTCATTCTTAAAATATTCAACATTCGGTATGCAATAACTCGCAAATTTTCTTGCCATTATAATACCGATCGAATGAAGGAAAAATTTAATATTTATGTCATCCAACGTGCAATGTTGATAGAAAAGCGATTCAGTAAACGCGGATAATCAAATAAAGATTTATGAAGCGTTCGACCGTACAACTCATCGTCTACGCAGACAAAAATATATTGCATATATTGTCAGTATGTATAGATGAATAACAAGCATTACGTTTATTTACCGCATAACATTATGTTTTCGAAAATAACAAAACGCCCGTTCAAACTTTTTATGCTTTCAAAATCCTTTGGCCACTTAAAAACCAATTTAATTCAAGCTCAAATAAATCTCTATCGTAAAAATATTAAGTAACATTTTGGATATTTTGACAAACTTTGGAATTTATAGTTTTTATTAACAAATAATAAAGAATAATTGTGTCTAAATAAAAAAGCGAAAAATATATTTATTTTTAAAATCTTTTTTCAACAGCAAAATTCATTGAAAATTATAAAAATATTTCTGGATATTATAAAGAATTAATGCCTGTATTAAAATAACAATGACATTCAGCTTGGAATTATTTTATGTAAACAAATTTACAATATAGCAATGTGTTTCACACAAAGCACGCACAGCGATGGATTTTAATCAACTTGATTAAATATTCAATAATATCATTATCGTCTCATACGATTATACACTATAATATTTTTGTTTGTTATTGTCATGATTATATTTTTGGATGCTAACTCTCGTTCAGCATTCAAAAATATAATCATGATAATAATAAACAAAATATATGAATCAATTACATTAAAAATAGAAAATGTCTGCTGAAAAAAAAATCAACTCCAATCTATTCAGCATAATCGACCTCGTCGAAGAAAAATCTGTTATTGGAATTGGATTCTTTTGTTTCGTGACACCTCATATATGAGTAAGATATTAATGTAAGAACGAGGAATAGGATTTGTTTTAAAGGAGCAGCTGCGGACGATTGATCTGTTTTGGAAAAATCTTAAATCACCGCGAACTAGACAAGCGTGGCAGGAGGACTACGCCCAGGCCCTCTCTCCGCCCCTTGAAAGCACTCCGACGTTTTCGCACGACTCCGTAGGAGCTTTCGGGTGGCTTTTCCTCAAGAAAAGTTCGGGGGAGAAGCAATTCATCCTTCGCCTCGAGTAAGGACACGGGCGTCGCGGAAAAATAGCTTCGGCGTGTATTTAACTAGAAGGGTTGAGCTCGATCGATTGATCGTTCATTTTTTCTCACGCGAATTGCTCGAAGTCACTTGTAAGTGAAACACACGAGGCTTCGTCTGGCGTTTCAATTGAAATCGGAGGCGTATTAAATTGATAATCAAGTTACAACCCTTATTAAAGAAATGAGGTTTTTCGCGATGTGTCTGAATCTTAACAAAGAAAATATGTGCGAGAAAATAACAGGTTGAAAATAGTATCGATTGAACTAGTAAAATTTATGCCAATCTTATGTAATCGATAGTAATAAATATAATAATCCTACGAAGCGCTTTGTAACAAATAATATAAAAATATCTGGATTTTTCAAAAGAAGATATTAAAAAAAGTCGAAAATAAATTTTTTATTATAGTAGAATATTTCTATATATCAAGAGAATCATCTACCTGAAATTTTATTCCGTAAAACACGAAAATCCAAGATTTCTCAAGCGTCACGTTTAGAAAATTGAGCTTAACAAGCTTAATTTTAGCGCTTCATAAGAATTATTGACGATAATAAAACACCTGAAGCGAATCTCTTCCTTAAATTCTATTTTTTAAGAAATGCTCAGAAAAAATCTCTATTTGACATACAATAAGACCTAAAAAGTTTACTATATGTGAATTTATCAAGTTTATTAACCAAATGTATGACTTAATCTCTATTGTTGTAATATGTAGACTTTTACTAAAAAATTATCAATAATATATCTTATCATAAAAATAAATATGTTTTCTTCCTTTTGTACACGCTCAGAAATATTCCTAGTTGCACACATATCTTATTGTACATACCATACAGGTATTTTCCAGAATCAGATATCTGATATACATTTGCATACATTTGAATCTGTACATTTGCATATTGAATCCGTACACATTAAAAAAAGTTTTAAATAAAGTTGGCAATTACATAATCTGTTTTTTAAAAATGGTTTTCAAAGTTTCATCGCGAGTGACTGAAAAAGCAATAATTCTGATTACAATTAAATCGATTTTTAAATTTTTTCTGTCATTACTGACAGAATGATCGTTTCATAACAGTAAAGTATTTTTATAACAGAGGTATAAAGTGGATTGTCGAAATATCAATTAATACTCTGAACAACTCCATTTCTTCATAATTCCGGCATACTAAATAAAAAAAGTTCATATTTAAATAGCGTGGTTTCGGTGCATGAAATTCAACTATCAAAGTTCATTTCGATTAATAATATTCCGGGTTTAATTAGCACGGAGTACCGGTCAGTAATAAATACCATAAAAATATATCAAGGTTGAAATACAGATTAAGTGATTACGGAGGCGTCGAACCAGACACACACAATCACGCGAGCGTTCCTTCGCGTTTGAAAAAGGCAATCGCGAAGAACGGCCATTTCCAAGTCACGCGACAATACGAAGGGAGTGGGCGATGGGGATAGCGAGAAGCATACTCACGTTGCTATGCCGGCGGGTGGGCACATTGCCCGCGGGCGTCGATGAGGAGCAACGCTGAAGGACGAGCTACCGTATCCCGGGCGTCCTATGTACCGAACACGAGGACTTGGCGCGCCGTGCCGATTTACCCGCAGCAGTCCCCAGTCCTCGCCGCGTGGACGTAGCGCACCCGCACATATCCCCGATGTCGTCGTGCACGTCGTCGTCGTCGTTGTTGCTGTCGTCGTAATCGTCGTCGTCGTCGTCGTCGTCGTCCTCGTCCTCGTCCTCGTCCCCGTCACCGTCGTCAACGCGATCGCGGTTGTGGTCGCCGTCGCGCACGTCGTCGTCCGCGACGTAACGTAACGACAACTGGTCGTCGACGCGCGCCCCGTCAGTCGGGTAATGACCTTCGGTAGTTACCCGGCAGTCGACCGCACTGCGGGTACACGTAGGCGAACGACCGGTCGGCCGGCAATAACCCGTAACACGAGGGATCGGTAGACGGCGCACCACCACACCAGCACCCACCAGACGCACCACCGACGGATATAGATAGCTTCGAGAGGAAGAGATCCGGACGGCACAACAGCACTGCTTCTAACGATTGAGGAGACGCGCGACCGTTGCCTCCGCTACCAGGTCTTCGACGGCCCGAGAAACGAGGAACTTCCGGGAGCAGCGACAATCGGGGCGAGCATAACTGCCATCTTCAACATCATCATCAGCGTGGCGAGGATCATCGACTTGGCCGTTATCATTAGCTGCATCTTGCTCGTCGCAGACGTCATTTTCATCGTCATTGTCGTAGTCATCATCATTGTCGTCATTGGGTTCCTCGGCAGCGGTGCGATCCTTGTGTTGACAGTCGTCGTAGTCGTCCTGGCAGCGATCATCGGCACCACAGTTGTCGTCGTAATCGTGCTCGCGATAATCGAATTCGCGCGCGACCTCCTGGGTCGTACCTTCGTCATGCTCGGGGGACGGGAATTCCGTGACACGGGCCAGTTTGCCATACCCCACGGAATCCAGCGGCTCCTGTCAGCCGCCAGATCGACGACTGCGGATTCTTACAGTCTCCCGGTGCTGCGCCGATGATCGGAAGTTCCACCCGACAGTGCGATTCGACAACTACCACCGCCACTATCAACGCCGTGCGCGCGGTGACAATTACTCTCTTCCGCCACCACTGCTCCGATCTCTCGATAATTCTTCTCGCTCTCGCCGCCCTTAACAGCGGGGTCCAGTTATTTGCGAGCGACGATGCGGCACGCGCGGCAGCCCGCATAAGCGGCAACCGCCTCTTCCACGAGGCCGACGACGATCATTCACCTAGAGAGCACCCACCACTACACCACTACCACCACCACTACCATCACCACCGGCCACCGCCACCCTGAAGCCACGCTGACCTCCTACTGACTTTCGTCTCCTCTGACACACCTTTCACCTCTCTCACCCCTTTCACCTCTGATTTTCTCACCTTCCCTCTGTTTCGTCTCCTCTATCTATCTCCTCTATCCTCGTTCTTTCTCCCGATCGGAAGCGTATCCATTTACCCAACCAGACGAAATGCCAGTAATCCGGCGGTACATGGCATTCCGATTAACATCGGATACCGCTTCACTTCTTTCATCATTCCAATCGTTGTTGCGAGCTTTCGCTCGCGGCACGACACATGAACCACCGTCACCGCGTTTTCAGCTTATATCGCACCACCCGCGATTGTTGGCTGGCCCGATATACAGCGCTCCACTATTTCCACTCGCGCTCCGCTGCCGCCTATTTCGCTCTCCCGGCGAATCCAAGTTGCTCAACTCTCCCTCGACTACTCGGTCTTCTCGGTCTCCCTCCTTAGTACCGTGTTTCACGCGCCTACGTGCATGCGTGCTCACGCACAATTACGAGAGCGCCGTGTAGGTGTGCTTGTGTACGTGCGTTAGTACGTACGTGCGTACGTGCGTATGTCACTCAGTCACACTCTCTCTGTTTCTCTCTCTCTCTCTCTCTCTCTCTCTCTTTTAGTGCGCGCGTTCACTTGATCCTTGCACCGCTGCGAGTCCTGCACCAGGAAGTCGTGTCGGTGCAGCAGGCAGGCACTCCCAGGACGTGTCTCTCTCTCTGGCAATGTTCCGACCGAGCAACCCACCTTAGCACTGACGCTCTGCCCGTTTCGGGGGGTGTTGTGGCGAGAACCGTGCCTCTTTCTCTCTTACTCTCTCCTCCTTTCTCTCTCCCTCTTGCCTGCAGACTCTCTCTCTCTTCCTCGCTCTCCTATCCGCCCGTCGAGTACCATCTCGCTTCTACCCCCAAGTTCTATCAATCTCTCTTTCTCCTTCCTGCCGTCTCTCCTACCCTACGTCGCCTCGTTCTCTGCTCCACGGTTAGAGTCTCTCTCCACGGTTAGAGCCCCGCCACACAAGCTACCCTGCGCCCCGGGAGCCAATACCAACCCATGTGGAAGCCCCGACGCGAGACGTCGGCGATGACTTGCGAAGCTGGCCGAACTTAGCCGAGCCACCACCCCTCTTTCCCACTTGTCCTAACACCCTACTGCCGAGGGTGAGCCAACGAGCACCCTACCACTCAGGTGCCGCCCCTGAAAGCTCGCCAAGCCCGCAAAACACGACGCGCGGCCATGTGGCAGCACCGACAGGACCGGCTACGAGAACGCTCGAGATGCACCGAGTCCGCACGATTTGCCCTCGATATAACGCGAGACCATGTGGAAACCTCGAGGCGGCGACGCGCCGACAGGAACGTACACGCGTTTATACCCCATTCTCTTCAGCCCTATGTAGTTCGAATAAATACAAGACGTTGCCGGCTAGATCGCGTGTTCTCGCAACACCCGCTTGCATGATTGACGCTCGCGCGATATCATCGTCTATTTCTGATTAACTTGCTTAGAGTGGCAAAAACTTTTTTGATTAACAAACTTGACATCGTCGCGCCAAGCACTTGTACGATTTTACGGCATCTTAATGTGACCTTAATTTTATTAAAAATGGTTTAGATGAGATATAGCTACTTCGTTATAAAAATAAATTGTTTTTCATTATGTTCTGTAAATATTTGCAATATTTGTTGTAAAAAGAGATTATCATAATTTGTAAAAATATATATATTAATAATTAATATTCAATTTCTATTTATAAAACCATCTGTAACGCAGTTTTGATTAATATCTTTACTGGAATCAGCATATCATCTGTTCAACATACGTTCTGTATTCAATACACGTTAATTTTGAAAACATTTATATTGATTATATAAAAAAAGTTTGCGGAATATTTTAGGAATATTCACTAATTACATTATTTCGTCTTTTGATGTAAATCATAAATGTTGCCACCAAGCATTGTATGATCTAAAATAGCTGCAGCAATTCAACGGAGGTGCAATTTTCCTCGTATATTACGTTCCAACTCAAAGGCCGAGTTCCATTACTTGATTACCGACTTTCTGTCGCACTCGCGTTTCAAAGCGGAATGTAAAATAGGGAGGCTTAAATCCTGTAAATACAGGAATCTCCGAAATACGCATTGCCAGTCGTTTTACTTCAGCATGCAGAATTACAGTAATAAAGCCGTTCAGCCGAGACACGAACGTATCATACCATTACATATTAATCCGTCCATCCCTCTTTAAATTGGAAACGCGAAATTTCCAAATACACTTCTTATCGCGGCACCATTGTTAACAGTGACTCGCCAAAGTGACAGGAATTCAGGCAAATGATTAATGAGACGATTATGCGCCAAAAAGTTGGCCGTTCACGTGGTATACGGTTCTCAGTAGAAATTCGGATACGGCACTGAACACGAGGTCTGCCGAGAACCGGCGAGCCACACCGTATTCCTATCCCTCTATTCCTCGGCATCCCTATCTCTATCTCCCTCGCCTCCTTTTCTCCTGCTCTAGTCTGTGTTCAGCAACCCCTCGTTTCTCCCCCTGGCCGCCCCATCGTTCTCTCCACGAGGTATCCTAGTCGATACTGACACTGGTGGTGCGAGGTCGACTCGTCAGAGGGTGCTGAAGGGAGTACAGAAATGGAGACGAAGCGCGGGGGATGACGCGAAAAAAAAATAATAAAGGCGCTCCCCAATCTCACCCCTTTTGCCGCTACTGTTCGAGTATATACGTCTCGTCAGTTCTCTCTCTCTCTCTCTCTCTCCCCCCTCCCTCTCTTTCTTTGTCAACAATCTGTCTTGGTCCCGCTCTCCGTCTGTCCGTTGGAATCGCGAGATAGAAAACGCCTTATCCGATATTTCCGGATATATCGAACATAAATTCGAGCTCTATCTTTCTCTTGTTTCGTTATATATGTAGTCAGCAATTAAAAAGTTGCAACACTTTTTCAAATGGGTTTCGCAATGCAATCTACTCATCCGAATGAGTGATTCTTACTTATAAATTTATAAATAAGAATCGCTCGGTGAACAGACTGTATTCTGAAAGCCATCAAAAAGAAAGTGTTGCAACCTTTTAGTTGCTGACTGTACATCTGTATATGTATACGTCGCGTTCATATCTCCGAGTACAATGGCACCACTTATCCAAGATTATTTTCGCCGGACATTCATTAGAATTATTTGATAAAATATCATTTAATAATACAAAATTCGATCGCAAATTTTTCAGGCATATCTTGTATTTTCACTGATACTATCCTATATTAGAATCACCGTGTATTTGATACGGGCGTATTGAGCGTATGTGTTCGCGCCATTTCTTGACCGTATTTCGAATGCTAAATGCGGCTGCTTCATTCCGAGGTTTATTTATGCAATATGAATATCAGATTAAATGTAAAAATGGAATGAGCGAGCCACCACGCTTTTAACCGCGTCGAGAGTCGAATACGCAATGAAAATATCCTCTGTTCTTTCTTTTTTTTAGTTTATCACTTTCTTTCGTAAGCAGCTGGGAAAGCTATTAATATAATTGATCGTTTAAAATTATTATGTGTAATGAGAACGTGAGAAAATTGTCATAATTACTAAAAATAAAACGTTAAAATGTTATAAAAATAAAATGTTAATGATTTACAAGTGAATAGAAAGATCTGTCAATGGTTAGAATAAAAAAAGTGGATATAAAAAGAATATCCGTAAAGAAGATCTGAAAGCGTTTTCCAATATCTCATATAGTTCGAAATAGTTCCGCTCGATATTCTCTCCATGTTATCGAATGTATCAGTCCTTTTATCTAACTAAATATGTGTTCATATATCTTATTACAACGCGAAAGATATGTGAATATCTTTGTACCAAAGGTCTAACTTATAAAAATTGTCGTGATAAAAATCGTATATCATCAGTAAATTAAAACTGCACTGCGATTTAATTAAATTGGATCCGCGATTTAACGTAATTCGCGGAAGACGAACACTGATTGTCAGCCGACGTAGGCCGGTATTGATAGTCCGTTCTTATTTTAAAATCACCTTAAGTAATGTCTTAAGATGCTAATGCAACTTTCTGATTGGTTGACATGACATCTTAAAACCCCTGGTAGCAAACTGCGTCATTTTATCATCATTTTGACGTCAAAAGACGTCATTTTGATGGACGTTAACTTGCTACCAGAGACTGTACTTAAAATAGTCTTAAATATAAAAATTGACTATGAATATCACAGAATCGTTAGTATCTTAAGACATTACTGACATTTTGAAGTAAGAATCGATTTTATGATTATCAGCCATAGAGACCCTCTTTAATTAGTCTAACGAGATAGCAATCTATGATTTGTTCGACATTTTTTGTCAAATCGCGTTGGTCAGAGCTAGCACGTATCTTTATCTCTCTCGCACTATTCCAAAGCGAGATAAAACATATCTTTTCTCATTCGTACGATTTTAAGGAATATCGGACCTCTTGTCGTGACCAGACTTTGATCAGAGGATCTCGCACGACGTTTGGACTGAGGTAGGATGTTTCGAATTAATGAAAACGTCGGTTACAGCGAACTGTACAAGACGACCTCATTGTCAGATATGTAACGTCCTGCAATACGCCGGTCTGATAGGGTATGTGTGAGGTATTTCCGGTAGCTGGTATCCACACGGATTCCCCAAAGTAAACGGTATGCGTGAAGTTCTTGTTTCGCGGCACCAGCAGTAGAATTCCTTGAGGGCCCGGGTGATTGTATACGATGCCTTTGCACGACACACGAATAACACGTCCCACTTTTCCCCGCCACGCAATCTGATCGTGGCTTACTCGCGAAAATTCGATAGAATTCGAAACAGTTGGCAGAGCCAATGGGTTTTCGCGCGCCATGCGAGAGACACATATAGATGAAACATTATATAGATCAGCGATATCAATAATTCATGTGCCAATGATATGGCCAACTGTGCAGAAATCGCGCTTGTGATCCAACCTAAGTTGTCTGAATGCATTACAACGAAAAATCGTACTCATTTCGCAAGAGGACGAAAATTATTCATATCCTGGTAGAACACAAAATCATAATAAGGTCAGAATGATATCAAGTAAAAATCATTTTAGGAAAAATCATAATGATATTATTTGGTGCACCTTTCACAATGATTTTGTAAAGAATTCTTGATACGATAATAATTTTGAACTAATTTTTTAGTTAAAAAAGTTACAGTTATGTCAAGAACTTATCAAGTGGTTTTTTAATTTAAAAAATCATTTAAAAATCATTGTTATATCAAAATTCATCATAAAATCATTTTCAAAATTATATCGAATGATATCATAGATTTTTTTCTAAAAATCTGTCTTCTATTTGATATATCATTTTGATCTTATCATAATTTTGTGTTCTACTTAGGTAGCTGAATTTAGTTCTAGTGGCAGCAGGCAGGCTGCTTTGTCGTCGTTAATTTCTTCCGTTTCTCGATCGTATTTGAAAAAAGCCTCTTTTATTAAGTCTTAATGGACACGTTACTTTTATATACCGACGCATTGCGCCGTGTGACATGGTGAATTGCACACAAAGTGTAGTTTCGAAGTACGCGAAAATGCACTTTGCCGACCGCGAATTTACTCTATAAAGCCGAAAATCATACTAGAAATTTATTGCATGTTTGTAAAATATTTTTTACCCATTAATCACTCCCATTAATTATTCATTATCACACGAGAACAATTTTACAATGGCATGATAAACGCTATTCATTTTATATTTGATAAGTACGACAATTAAATCAAACTATCGAATCAAATAATAAATTTATTTTTTAACTTTTACTAAGATTTTAGAAACAACACCGTTTATATGAATCCAACTATAATATGAGACAGTCAATTACGGTCAAAGTTGGATGTTTCAAACATCACGTTGTATGTATTTATTAAATAAATTTATTTCAGACAAGACTATGCACCGATAATTTTCGGACTTTCAACAATCAATCTGAAACACTAATAATCCCCCCCCCCACATTAAATTAAATTTAAAAAATCTGTAAAGAACTTATTGCGAAAAACATTACCTCAGCCATGCAGGAGTCGAACCTGGAACCTTCTGACTTTCTGGGGAAATTATTTTTGTCTTTTATTTTTGTTTATTTACATCACAACGCAATACTGTTTTCGAACAATTTTAACAAAATTATTGACGTTTTCGTGTGTATATATATATATATATACGAGGGGGGACCCAAAAAAAACGGGAATTTCGTCATAACTTCTTTATTTCTCAATATTTTAACACCAAATTTTGATCACCTTCAAAGTATTCGCCATTGACCACAACGCACTTCTCCAAACGATTCTTCCATTGTTCAAAACAGTTTTTAAATTCACTCATCGGGATGTCCTTTAAGCCTTCCAGCGATTTTTGTTTCACCTCCTCCACAGTGGCAAAACGCTTTCCTTTC